TGGTGGCAGCTCTTCCCCTCCCCCACCCTCTCATGCTCTTGAGCAGCTGGTACCACTCCAGGCCCACAAAGGGAGGCTCATTCTAAAACAGCTTCTTCTCATGTGGCAGCCACTGGCTTTGCATCTGCCCTGCCCTGGCAGGGCCTGCCTGCCCAGCGCCAGCTGCTCCCAGCTGCCCTGGCTTCAGACTGCTTCAGGGTCGAGGGTTGGGTCCCCAAAGACCACCTAGTAAGCTCAGGGTAGTCAGTGTAGCTCGGGAGAAGAGGGAAGAAGCAGGGCTGGGCACACAGGGAGCCTTCATATTCCCTCATCTTCTGGACAGCAGACAAGTTCTGTGGCCAGGCAGATCCAAATCAGACACTGGCCGCCCTGGTGCCAGGAGCTGAGACTCTGCTGGCAGTTGTGGCCACAGCAGAGGCGCTGGCTGGGGCGGCGTCTGCTCCAGTTTGCCAGGTCGGCCCGAGAGCAGTGGAAAAACTCACTCCATCCCTGAGCCTCTGAGCCTGATGCTGCCAGACCCAGGGTCCATCCAGCAGCCATGTCCCCAAGCTCAGGTCGGCACAGGCTTCACAGCCCTTCCTAGATTCCTCTAAGAGTGGCCATATATGCCAAGGGGCAAGGTCTCCCATCCAGGAACCCAAGTCTCTGGGCCCAGCAGGACCAAAGGGACTGCCTGGGATTTTCTAGATGCATTTACTACCCAGAGGCAGAGATGGAAAAGAAGGAAGGAGGGGGGGCAGGCAGGCAGGCAAGCAGGCTGCATCCATTGAGCACTTACAGCATGCAGGCAGGACAGACTGCTCCTGACTGCTACCCACACAGCCTTAAGATTGAACTTGGGATTCTGTGGCATCCCTTCCGTATCTGCTCCTCTGAGGTCCTGAGGGCAAGGGGTGTGCTTCCTGTGTTCTTTATCCCTGATGCCTGGCTAAGAGCTGGCTCAGGTTGTGATCTGAGGGTGAGGGTTGAGTGAATGACTGAACTATACACCTTACTGTACCTGGGTACCAGACACTTGGAAGAAGACAATGAGGCAAGAGGAGGAAGGAGGGGTGTGAGGTTGAGAGCGGGGTCTGAGTTTGCACTTCAGGGCCACTGGACCAGGCTCATGGCCTGTAGCTCTTTCTCCTCTCCCAGTCAGAGATAGGCAGGAGAGAGGATTAGAGACAGGCTATTGGGACCAAGGCTAGACAGTGGGTTGGGGACCTCTTCCCTATCCTGACACTGGGTTACATGAGGCTCCATCACTACCTTGGCCCTTCTGTGCTTCTGTTCCGAGGGGGAAGTAGTCCAGAAGAGGGAAATCCAGCTCCCAGAAGCACAGATAGGGAAAACTGATTCAGGTGGAGGGTGACTGGAGCCAGGCTGAACACCAGCCCCACTCAGGCTGTCTAAGGCCTCTTTTGTAGGGCAGCTATAGAAGGAGAGAGACCATCCAAGACCCAAAAGACCAGATTTCAGCCCTCCAGTCTCATGTTTGCAAGTGACTGGGGCAGGTTATAGCCAGTACTCTCAGGATCTTGGTTCCCTTGTTTTCCTAAAGAAAGCACTGGATGCTTGACTTCAATGTTTTGCTCTCCTATGGTGGCTGAACAGATGCCTGGGAAGCATCTGATCTTTGCCAGATGCTGTTTCTACCTGGGCAGGGCAACACCATCCTCGATCCCTTCACTTTCAGCAGGATCCAGGGTTCCCCTCAGTCAGCTGTGCCTGCAAATAGGGTAGGAGGGGGAAGACAGACCTGCAAAGAGGGGCATGGGTGTGGTGACAGTGTTGTTCTCTTTCCTAGAGTCAGCATTCAGACAGGAGGCGGCTGACATCCAGATCTCCTCTGTCTGTACGCTCACCCTCAGGTCTTGTTCAGGTAAGCCAATTCCTGCCACTCAGGGTACTTTGTTTCTGGACATCGACTCTCACCCCTCCCCCAAGTTAGCCTCAAGTCCTGAAAAGCACAAAGCTCAGTATCATCTAACTCAGCAAGGCATAAGGAAGAGCAGGATAGCCCAGCCAATATAAGCCAAATCCTCCTAGACCCACAAGTTCCCCAGTCATAGCTCAATCAATAGCCAAGAGATCACCCACAGGAACTGTGAGCACCAGAAGTCTATATGGCAGCCCACAGGCCTTTCTTCTAGCTCATGAACTTGTACTTTACACACAGATCTAATTCATTCTATCCTCTGCTCTTCCAGTTGACAGTGGTTTAGAACAGATGTGTAGAGGTGGGGGAGCCATGCCAGTATAGCACGTGAGGAGGACTGAATAGAGATAGAATATTAGAAAGAGCAGGCACGAGAACTTGACCATGTACATCGTGGTGTGGTTCAGAGCCACCTGTCAGCAGGGAACAGCCTCCGGCCAGGCCTCCATGACTTGCCTTGTGGAGGGAGGCACCTGCAGAGGTGTGGCCTTGACCTTCAGTGGTGGGTGTTTGCTGGGAAGCTGCACCTGGTCCTTCCCTCTGTGCTTTCTTCTTTTTTTCCTCCCTCCCCCCCACCCCGTTCATAAAGGAATTAATGTAGCTTACTAAAATACTCATGATAGAGTAGAGTTGACATAACACAACAGCGACACATGCCACCAGGCTAGAAGGCTACAGTACAGAGACGCATGCCTGTGTTGTTCAGCTGCTTAGGACAGGAGCACCTCCACAGCCCCCCAGGCTTCCCATACAGAGGCTCTCCGCAAAGAAAGAATTGGGAGACATCTGAAAGCAGAGTGGTAAATGGGAAACTGAGGCTCAGCTCCTCTAGGGAGGTGCCACTGAAGATCTAGCAACTCATGATCTGGTTTCATCCTCTCTAATTTTCAGATCCCTCTGAGAGCTCAGGACCTATGATCTCCTCCAAGCACTGGCCCAAAGGACTCTGTCCTGGAGATTAGGGGGCATTGGGACCCTTCACCTGGAAGAGGATGACCAGCAGCTCATCTCTAGCTCACTCTCTTTCCTGAAGTGACTCCCACCTCCCATATTCCCTATGGGGTTCTCTTGTATCTGTGGGTAACCAGACCATGCACAGACAATAAGTCCTAATACCCCTTGCTACAGATCATTGGAGCCAGCTCCTGTATCTTACACATGGAAAATGACTAGTCCAATGTCACATAGTCTATTAGTGGCCAACCTAGGACTAGGGGCCACACCTTCCAACTGTCTGGAGCATGGAAGAGCCTTGTCCAGCAGGCCTTGCCCGTAGCCATCCTGCCCCATGCTGTGCAGGGCTGTTGAGAAAAGAGAAGATAGGGTTAAAGTGGGGATTTTATTTAATCCTCTGAGCTTGCTTAAGCTGGTTTGCAGGAGACAAGAGATACACAGAGGGATTTGCTGGGGCCTGGGCAGGGAAGTGGGGTATGTTAGAGAATAATCCCTGCATACCTAAAGGTAAGGTCCAACAGTGGGCTAAGCAGGAGAGTCCCCACTTTCATGGTCTCCCTATCCCATCCCTGCCCAGGGTCCAGGCCTCCAAACAGTGACCCTCTGTCATGAAAATCCTACAGTTCCAGGGTGTTCAACAGTACAGAGCAATGGGAGGATCTCTGGCCAGAGACCAAAATTGGAGGGCAAACCCTAGTCCTGCCAGGTAATTGCTGTGTGACCTTAGGCAAATCACTTCTCTGAAGCTCAGCTTCTATGGCTACTTGAACTTGTTTACAAGACACCGGGGCGGGGGGCGGTGTTGCTGAGTTAATTCTCAGTACCATCATCACAAACCTCTCATCCTTATTTATCCCACCCAGGCCCATGCATGAGTCTTCTGCCTACCTGCAGCTTTGCCATTCATAACCCTAATAGCAAGCCTTCAGCTTAACGGCATCTGTATTATTCCAAAAAACTATGTATACAGCAAGCTTCACAGAAGCACCCAGAACCCAGGCAGTCCCCAGCTCTCAAGTTCGCATTCCCACAATGCTCCGAAGTCCCAGAATTAGGGGTGATGGCAAAGTTTGAAGTGGAGCTCAACCCCAGTAGTCCTGAAATAGCCCACCAGGGTATGGGGGTCATTAGAAGGAGACAGAATCAGCACTCCAAACCTCCGTCTGGCTCCAAACCTCACCTGGTGTCTACCTCCCCAGAGATGAGAGTCAGCTGAGCAGCTGGGAAAGATGGAATCTGACCTGGGGTGCATGAATGGCCAAGCCCAAGTCCAAGGCCAGGCTGTGAGGTCAGAACTCTGACAGAGTCTCTAAAGCTTAGAGTTAACATCCTTCACTGGTCTTTCACCACCCTGACGATCCATCTTATTACCCTCCCATTACACAAGAGGAAACTGAGGCCCTATCATCCTTCGGGCCCCACCCCCACCCCAGATTAGTGGTAGAGCTGAGGTCAGAGTTCAGGTCTGCCATAGTCCTGGGCTCATCCCACTGCCCATGCAGCTCTCTTCTTAACTTTATCCTCCCACTGGAAGGGAAGCCATCCCAGAAAAAAAGTTTTCCAATAAAACTGGAATCCCCTGACAAGTCCAAGAACCCACCCCCAACGTGGGGGCTGCCAGGGCGCCTACCTTCTCTGTCCTGCCACATCCCCACCTACCCCTGCCCCACTGTGTCTTCTGGGCAGAACTTTCCTTATGGCTGGCAGCTTGGAGACTGGGCAGCACCTCCTCCACAGGGTGTCTTTGGAGTGGGGCCCGCGCTCCTAGGATGCACCGCAGAGGCCGGCAGGTGGGGTGCAGTTTCCCTGGTGAGCCTGCCAGGATAGCCTCTGTGGCGCGTAGCACTGAGGGGACACCCAGTGAGCCCGCCCGGCAATGCCAGCCCTCCAGAGCTTAAAACCGCAGCATCCTCCACAAGGGTTAAAAATGCAGTCCCGGGCTGGGCTGGGTGCGCAGGGATGTGGTCCACACTGCCCAGGGCAGCGGCCAAGGCGGCATCCCCGCCCTGCCTCCGCAGTTCCCAGGAGACTAAGCGACTAGGGCGACTCCTGGGAGCCGGGCCCGGGGAGGGAGGGTCTGCAGCGCCCGCGGGTCCCCAGCGCGGCGACGGTTGGTGCTGCTTACCTTTGTGACAGTCATGCAGAAAGCGGGCGGCGGGCGGGCGCGGGCGGCGGCGGGCGGCTTGGCCGGGCTGGGGACCGCGCGCTCCGGAGGCCGCTGGCTGATGTCAGCCGCGGCCGAGCATCTATAATAGATGAGGCCGCCGCGCCGCAGGAAGGCGAGGCAGGAAGAAAGGCAGAGCTGAGGGCCGCGCGGGGGGCGGGGAGGACCGGCCGGGGACTCGCTACAAAGAGGAGGCGGAGGCAGAGGCGGGAGCGCAGCTCCGGCGCCCGGCGGTCCCCAGCCCCGCGCGTCCAGGCCCGGCCCCCTCGGGGTCCTGGCACCTGCAGCTGGGGACGTGGGCGGTGACCCGGCCTTCGGTGCCGCGTTGGCTCCGGGCAGCGGGTGAAGTCACACGCTGGACGGGCGCGGCGCACGGCCCCGGATGCCTTCCCCAGCCGGGCCGCCCCCTGGAGGTTCGCAAAGTCTACCCGTCCCGGACCCTGCAGCGGCCACCCCAGCCTAGGATCGCCGGGCGGGTTAGTGGAAGCACTCCTTTCGAGCTAAGTCTTCGGAGATGAGCTCGTCCCAGGGCCGCTGTGGTCCATGTTAAGCACGAAGAGAAAGAACCAGAGTGGGAAGTGACTGGGACAAGGACATAGGGCAGCGCTGACCCGCCAGACTCGCCTGTCTTTCTCCACTTGACGGCAAGCTTCCTAGAAACCCCTTAATTCATAGGCTGCGTTCTGTTAGCGATAGGCACCCACGGAGGCCTTCGTAGGAGGGCCAGGGCCCACCCTCCTCAGGTGTGTCCACAATACCCTTGTGGGCAGCTGCAGCGCTGTTGAGTGATTCCTGCCTAAGTAACCTGGACCCTAGATTTGAGCGACAATCGCATAAATGTGACCTCGAAAGTACCTGGGGAGAACCGGTTTGGACAGAAGCAGAGCTATAGATGCCACAGAGGAGTGGGGAGTTAGTTCAGGGACTGAGAGGGGTACTCCAGGCATTTCACCCTCTCCTGGGGGTCTGAAGGGTACTTCCTGCTCTCACAGCTCCTCCAGTGAGGTTCAGGGGACAGCCAGGACCGGCCACATGTGAGCATCTAGTTTCAGGGAGGAAGGTGCAGAACAGCGGAGCTGATGCCTACCATTCAGGGGACCTCTGGACCACAGCCACAACCGCTCAGTAACCAACATCTGTGAAGGAGTATGCCAATCTTCACGCTGTTTTTATTTCATGGATCCTTGGGTAGCCCTAAATGCAATAGTTTTGCTAAAGAATAAACAGATTTGGGAAGGATCAGTACCCAGGATCACACAGTGGCAGGGCCAGGACTTGAACCCCGCAACTACAGGTTCCTCCACAACTACTGCCTTCTTTGAATCGCTTGGGAGCATGTCTTGGGCAGGAGGCACTCACCTGTCAGTCTTCAGGGCCTTGTGGCAACATACGAAGTCTCTAGGGGGTCAGATGTAGCTCAGGCCTCAGGCCTTGGCTCTGTGCCAGGCCCCTTCTAGGTATATTTCCTGTGGGACCTCAAGTCTTTCCTGCATTAACCCCCACCCTAGGAATACCCACCTCATTCTCTGCACCAATCCAACTGCACCCTACTCTGGCACCCCACTCTCGCCTGACAGTCCAGCCTCAGATCTGCGCACTGTTACACTTGGTTCAGTGTCTGATTTTTTTTTTTTTTCCATGTGACAGTACAGTGGGCCCTAACTGGTCTCTGGGCAAGCCTTTTCTTCCTGTACATCTTGGGGCACACAGTAGGTGCTCAGCAAATATTTAATGCCACCAAGAATAAATCAAGGATGTGGTAGGTGTGGGAGCTGTGAAGGTGGCTTAGTCAGCAAGGTGCTTGTTTTGCAAGCTTGAGTACCTGAGCTCAAATTCCCAGCACCCAAGCAAAAAGCCTAGGGCTGGCCAGGTGGAAACAGGAGACTCTCTTGGGCTTGCAGACCAGCCAGTCCAACCATTCAATGAGTTCCAGGTTCAAGAGACCCTGTCTCAAAAAATTAGTTGAAGCCAGGCACTGTGGTACTTGCCTTTAATTCCAGCACCAGAGAGGCAGAGGCAGGAGGATCTCTGTGAGATCAAGGTCAGCCTGGCCTACATAGCAATTTCCAGGCCAGGATCTTCCTGTCTCAAAAAAACAAAAACAAAATGTTAGAGAGCAATTGAGAAAGACACCCAGTGTTGACTTCTGGCCTCCATTAACACAGGCATACATCTGCACACATACATGCATACATATAAGGATGGATGTAGCTCAGTGGTGGAATGCTTGCTTAGTATGCATAAGGCCCTGGGTTCTATTCCCAGCAAAACACAGACACACAGATACAGGCACGCACAGACAGACAGACAGACAGACAGACAGACACACACACACACACACACACACACACACGATTCAATGTAAATTAGGCCCATGAAAGCATTTCCCATCAGCTGCCTGTCATCAAAAGGGTTCCAATTCCGTGTTTGGACTAGGATTGTCTTGAGTATGTCAGTTTTAAGACAGAAAGATAAATGTAAGGCCTTTCCAGGCCATTCCAGCCGTAGGAGCCCACTGGAAACCATTAAAGTGCCAGCCAGGAACACCAGTCACCATGCACTCACGACTGTGACCTGCCCACTTTTATCCCACGTTCACATCCCAGATTGTTATCCTCAGCTATCCAGCATGCCTCTTGGCACCTTCCTCACTATCTGCGGTTGTTGTGGGCTCCAGGAACTAGACAAATACTTAATATCATCCTGAGCCAAATGTAATTAGGAGTATCAATCTGCTGTCCCCAACCCATGTGACAGGCTCCAAAGGCAGAGAGGAGACACTTCAGATCCCTCACGTGCTGCTGGCTCGCTCCTCCTGTCACATCTCCATCTCCTCCAGGCAGAAGAGGGGTCTAGACAGACAGAGTGTGCCCCCCACCAAGAATTCTGGTCCTCTCATGCCCAGGTCAGGGCTCAGCCTGAATGAGGGACTCGGAGCTGTGAGGGTTTCTGTGGTATGCTGTCAGCAACAGCAGGCCTTCCTGTGCTCCAGCCATATGGTCCCCTTGGGGCTGAGCTTGAGAAATCAGATGAATGCAGGGGACTTAACTGGAAGAAGATCCCAGGAGCAGAGAAGGAGATGCAGTGGCTACTGAGGTTGGGAGAAGCAGTGTACAGGTATGTTTCCAAGGACAGTGCTGAGGGTCCCTGGACGAGGTGCTCAGCAAGTTAGCCACCTCTGGGATTGGTAGAGAGAGTCACCTGGCTGATGTCAGTCACAGATGGCAGAATGCTCACCTACACCTTCTTCCCCAAGTCTGAGGAAGACAGTATCCCCTTGCACCTCAGCACTGTGTTTTGGATGGAGAGTCCAGGCCCCTCAGCTTCAGAGCATGTCCTGGGACTTGAAGTGGGGTAAAGCCCTGGTCTGATTTCATGGACCATCTACTGAGCTACATATGAAATCCAACATAGACTAGTCCAAGGTATATGTTATAAATTGAAGCATAAAGAAGAATTTGCGTTATTAACTCTGGAGTCTTTGAGGCTTTCATGCCTCAATGCTACCCCCATGCTATTGCCTCAGCCTCCAATGTCTTTACTCCTTGTTCTTAGCATGACAAAACTCCTATTTATCCTTCAAAACCTAGCTCAAACGACATCTCTATGTAACTCTCCAAACACAACCTCCACAGTGGCCACAAACATGCTGGGCGTGGTGGCACACCCCTTTAATCCCAGCACTCGGGAGGCAGAGGCAGGCGGATCTCTGTGAGTTCAAGGCCAGCCTGGTCTACATAGTGAGTTCCAGGACAGCTGGGGCTACAGGGAGACCCTGTCTCAAAAAGACCAAAAAAAAAAAAAATTGTTCCTGTCTCTTTTTATGAGCTATGACTACCACCCCCTCCTTCTCTCTCTTCTGTTTCCAAGACCAACATCTAGGCAATTTGGGGGAGCTTCCCTTGCACCCATGAAGGCTACCACAGAGACCTCTAGTGCCTACCTTAACAACCCGTTGGCTCAAGTTCCTGCCCCACAGTCCTCTATATGTGAGGCTCCATGGGATCCAGACTTTCCCTCACACAGCCTCAGCCTAGGCATGTATTGGGTGCCTTTCTACAGACAGAGGGGCTTGGTCCTAGCCTACAAGGGGCTCCAGTCTTCCAATAGAGACCCACAGAGGTAGGTACCAATAGCAGAGACTGCCTTGCCTCAGGGAGCGAGCGAGAGAGAGAGAGAGAGAGAGAGAGAGAGAGAGAGAGAGAGAGAGACCCAAGTGAAGAAGCCAGTGAGAGGGAGGGGCTCAAACAGCTTTGTGCCTCTTCAGTTCCTGTGGAGAACGAGCTGCTGGATACAGGGGCTGGCAAGGTCTGCACATGGCAGCTGGCTTGCTGAGTCAGCTGCTGGGCCCTCCCTCCTCCCTCCTGTTGCTGATTCACTCTGCTTCTTTGTCTTGCAGTCTCTCTCTCTCCCTCTATCTCTGTCACACTCACCTTTCTGGGTTTTAAGTATCCCCATCTTCCCACATCTTCACTGATACCCTAGTGCTTTTCTCAGCTGCTCTCCAGCTGCCTGTGGGGGTCACCACTCTGGACCTCAACCTTCATGCTTTCTCTTCCTCCCGTCCCACCCCCAGCTCTGTCCTCTGCCATCTCTGCTTATTTTAACTTGTCTCTCTCACCCGTGTGTCTGCCCCCTTTACCCTGTGACTCTGTGTTCATCTTTTCTAAAATTTAGTTTTATTATTTTTTAGTTGTGTGTGTGTTGTGTGCTTGTGCGTGTACCTGTACATGTACGTGTACCCCTGTGCCCAAGCCCACACCCCCACAGCTATCCATGGAGGCCAGACACCTCTGGAGCTAGAGTTACAGGCGATTGTTAACCATATGATGTGGGTGCTGGGACCTGAACCCAGGTCCTCTGCAAGAGCAACAAGCGCTCTTAACCACTGAACCATCTCTCCAGTCCCTGAGTTTCTCATCCCTGTCTTGATCTGGGTCTTTCTTTGCTCCTCTCACCTTTCTCCACTGCTGCTGGGCAGACATGCAGGGTACTGAATTTGCTGTGAGGGGTGGGTACTAGGCAGGTGGGGCCTTCTCTCTAATCCATATCTGCAGGGTGAAGATCTAGGGGCCGCTTGAAAGCAGGCAGGCCTGGGGCCTTAGATCCATGTCCTGGACTAGGGCCACCTTCACTGGGCTCCAGGGTCTTTGTCTTTGACCTGCTTTGTGAGACTGAGTGAGGGTGGGGGACTCTGCTTTTGTATACACACATACATGGGTACAAAGCTGGAAATGGTTGGGAGAGGGAGGATCCACAGAACTAGGTAGGGTCAGCAAGGGACCCCTGAAGCTAGTTCCTCCCAGAACTTTGTTCATTCAAGCTGCTCCCAGTCCCCTGATGATAA